TTTCATAAGAAACATTCATACTAATTGGAGTCCAATACATAAATAGTATTGCAAAATTATTCTTAATTAATTTAGTAAAATGTCTACTTTATTCAACATTTAGAAATACTTTAGCCAAGCATATAGTCAAACTTCATAATTGAATGATCATTATAAGGTATTTCAACTAACATTTCATAAATATCTCTGTGAAATAACTAATTGCGTCACTGAAATTCTTGACTTTTTTTAATCATTGTATAAACTACTACATTACTCTCTCTCTCTCTCTCTCCTCTCTTTCTCTCTCCCCATATAGACAAATTGGTACCTATCGTATGGGGTGAGAATGAATTTCATTTCTAAGTAAAAGTTGATTTTTCAAAATCATGTACTTCTCCGAAAAGATGCTAAACTATTTTTAATATCATCACACATTACATAGATGTACATACTCTAAAGTAATTGCGCATATTAAAAAGTGACAACGTACTCAAACATTCAAAAATATTTTGATCAGAATCGAACATTTCCTTTTCAGTGTTATTTATTTGGAAGATAGACAAACTACATAACCTATTGTTTGCAAATCATTAACTATTTTGGTTGTTGTAATGATTTCAGAGTTATTTGTCTTAATACTTTTTCCAACCGATCGAATTTGTAATATTAATTGAGAAGCATATCACTTTGTCAAAATATTTCAAATGAAAAGAATTTGTATTATATTATATTATGATACTCTCAGTCATATGAATTTTATTATTATGACGTTATTATTAAAGTTTGTTGTCCATATCAATATTTATGATTACCCATTTCTTATGGAGAAAATAATTTAAATGCTAGCTAAGAAAAGTAGTAAGTATAAATAAAATATTTTTATTTCTTGATATTGGTATACTTTTCTAAGAAAATTCAGACTTTTTTCTTTCCCATTTGCATTAACATTCTATTTATATGCATTGTTTTTTTAAATTTGTTTAATAGTAATAATATATTTGATAAAAGTGTACTTTTATATTGTTTATAATACTAAAAATTTTTAGATCTTTTTTCGATTGTTTGATAAATATTAAGTAACTAACTCATTTTTATATTCACAAAAGTATATTTTACAACCATTATGGTATTCCATTTCAAACAGTAATTGAATAATTGTTTAACATACGACTCATTAATTTTTTTTATTTTTTTTTCACATAGTTAACATAGGTAATAGTTGTACGTTTACATCCATTTTCACTTTTTTCCTGGTATGAATATTTCAAATACATGTAAGAAAAAATATAACAAAAGTTTATCTATTGTCATTTTATAATTAATTATTTAAATTGAGTTAACATGTGTCTATAATTTATTTTATAAGATACTTTTAGATCTATTTATTATTTTAACTTGGTTCAATAAAAATAAATATTTTATTTTTATTTTATGACCAAATCAAACATGATGAGAAAAAAATAATGTGATATATCACATAAATAAAAAATATTAAATATTTCAAAATAAAAAAAAATTAAAAAACATAAAAACAATTAAGACTAACATACTGATTTCTAATACAATATATATATATATATATATGTATTTATGAATATGCATCTTAAGTATGTTTTACTTTATCATTCGCCAGCTTCAATTGATATAGGACATTTATTAATTTTATAATTTTTTTTTTTACTTTAATTTGGATGGAATGTGAGCTATAAGCTTTCTTGTTGTGTAGTATTATCTTTTATTTTTATTTTTTTTTTACATAGAACATCATTCTTACCTCTTGTTTAGTTATTATAACACTAATAAATAAAAACAGACTTTTCAACCTACATATAACTTTTGTAAAAAAAAGAAACACTAATTATCATAAGTAAAATCATAATACATTGAATATGTTATATTTTGTATCATTGTCAATAATTTTCAAAATAGTTAATTACACACAATATTATATATAGTGCAAAATTGTTTAATTTGACTTGGATTCACTTTTATTGTAAACAAATGATAAAATTCCAATGAAAACATGTTACATCGAAATTTTAATGATTTTTTTTTTATAAGAAATTGCTTTGTGAGAATAATACAAATAAATAGATAGGTAAGTAACTTAATTAATTTTCAAGGTATATAGACATATCATGATTCTCCATATATTTTTAATTAAATTATAGATAATCGTATGATCTAAATTAAATCATGTTGCTCAAGTGGTATTCCATTCCACATGAAAATAAATAGTATGGGTTTTAATTTTATACAATTTCATAAATTTGTTCTAATCTTATTTTAAGAAGGAAATTGAGTATATTAGAAGTTTAGGCTCCAAAATAAGAATTCAACCGTTCTCATACTACTACACAATTTATTTTTTTATAGGTTATTTTAAAAAACAAAAAATGTTTATATACTTTATGGGCATTATGAGGAAAAACATTATCGATTTCAATTTTCTTACTTATATGTTAATGTGATTTTAAATTATACCGTCTTTTATATTTTTATGATCTATTCAAATTTTTTGAATAATTATTTTCAATTAACCAATCACAAGTACATTACATAATGGACATTGCCAAATATATCGAAAGTTGAAAAAAATAATATTTAAAAGTAATAGTGAAAAATGATTATATGAAAATTTTGGTTGAGAAACCTTCATTATCTAAATTAGTCTTGTTTATTCGAAATATTTTTTGTTTGGGGAAGATTGATAAATATGAACAGTAAAACTAAATTAAAATCTTTTACATGAATAATTACATATGATAGTTTACAATTTTGTCTTCTTATCTTGTTGAAAGGGACCATTCTTTGTCATTATTTTTATTAACAAAATATAGCAGTTATAATTCAACTGGCATATGTTAGCAAAGTTTTTATACATTGTTCATATTATCTTCCCTTTTTCCAGTAAAATACTTTTCGTATGCTTTTTTTTTTCATTTGATCTAGTTAATTATATATTTTCTTCAGTTATAAATATATATTAATATTCAAGTTTTGGTTCAATTTCAGTTTTTTTTTTCCATTCAAATACTATTATATTTTTCATGAACCATTACAAACATATGGTACACAATTTGATTTAGATTTCAATAATCTTAAGAAATAATTTAAAAACATTAAAACAATTATTTGGTAAATTGTATTTTATTTTTTATTTTTTGCTTAATAAATAAAATTGATTTAAATTGAAGATTGTATAATGAGCAATAATTTTGGCCTCCATGTTACATTTAATGCTAAAATAATTGTTATTAATAAACTTATAAAATTAAATAAATATTGTTAAGAAATTGATCTTATATATTTACGGTTAAATAAACTCTTAAAATTATTGAGAAAATCATAAAAATATTTACAAATCTTAAAATAATGTCAATAAATAAAATATTTAATATACAAAAATTTGAATTATCAT